ATCCAAGCTTTATCCCAACTATTTAGGGTGGGCTACACAAATCCTGTTCCACCATTCCACTTTATCAAGGGTCATATGCTAAGTCACCATATCTCTTCTCACTACTTATGTCCATGTCTTTTTGGACCTTCCCTTACCCTTTCAGAGTCTTCCGTTTGAACTAAATCGCTCCTCCTAACTGTTGTTCTAAGCCAACACTACACATGTCTAGACCCAGACCACATAAGTCTACTCTCCTCTATCTTATTGCCTATTGGAGCTACTTCTGAGGTCCCTCATATGTATTTATTCTTAATTCTATCCTTTGTTGTCTTGCCACTGATCTATTTCAATATCCTCATCTTAGCTACGCTTATTCGATGGATATATTGTTTTTTGACCGCTCAACATTCAGTCTCATAAAACATGGCTGCTCTTACAGCTCTCCTATAGAACTTCTTTTTTAGTTTTATTGGTACGGGACGGTCACATGAGACTTCGGAAGTACATCTACTTCGTTCGCCCAACTCTAATCTATGCGCGACATCTTCCTCAAATCTCTCTATTCTTATGGAATATCAATCCAAGATATCAAAAATAATCTCTTTTACGCACTCCTTGGCCATCATGTTAACTAATTGTTTTTTCTCATATTATTACTAAACTTGCAATCCAGATATTTTATCTTAGTCTGGTGAATTTTAAAATCTTTAGATTCTAAAGCATCGCTCAAAAGTTCTAACTTTGTATTGACGATGTCTATAGTGTCATCAATCAAAGTTATGTCATCCATAAACAACGGTCACAATCCCCAATTAAGATCCTTTTTAGTCACGGAACGAGATCTTTATAAGAAAGGGATCTAGCTCCCTTGATGGGGGGAGTGAGCCCCGCTCGGGCTCTGGCTTCAGGATTGCCGGAGTGAGATTTCAAGGGAGATAGTACTCCTTAACCAAACTCCTAGCGTCTATTACATCAACCAAATTGTATGGGCCTTAGAAATTATGGGTAGAAATGTCACTGATACAAATGATTAAATGTTAAAAACAAGTTTTATGTTATCTTCATAAATAAAGTGTTACAAAATGCATAATTGTAATTAATTCAAAATTGAAAATTCACAAACCTTTAGTAACACAATTCTTTTACAATAATGCTGATCCTTTCTATCTTTTGTCCCTAGGGCCCTATGCTGTTATTGCCTGACACGGTGAGGGAGGCACTGAGGGTTTTGCTGGGCAAGTTCATCTCTTGGATTTCTCATAATACTCTCTTTCTCTCTCTCTCTCTCTCTCTCCACCACTGCACTTTTTATACGCTAACTACTCGTGTTGCGCTTGGAATGCTTTTGCAGATTCTAGAAATCATCCAATATTGATCCATTGTAAAAAAGGGAAGGTGCGTAAGTAAATCTATAATAATAGTTTCTTAAGAAACCACTAGCCCAATGTTCTTGGTTTCAAATCCCTTGCTTGAAAAATTTACCTGACTGTAAAAGTAAAATGGTAATTTGTATGCAGAGGCAGACGAGCTGCTTGGTGGGTTGTCTTCGCAGGGTGCAAAATTGGTGCTTCTCTTCTGTGTTTGAGGAATATGAGAGGTATGCAGGAGGAAAGAATCATGTTAGCGATTTACAATTTATCGAGCAATTTGATGTGTCAAATGCAAGAGAATATTGTTTCAGTCAGCTTCCTGTTACTTGAGATAAGAAATTGGAGTTTGAGAGTAGTCTAACGTAGTGAGAGAAGCACAAA